TGTAAATTGCAACGGAATTATAATATGTACTTTTTCTTACTTAAAGTAAATGTAGTAAAAGAATCGATTTTAATAAGTAAAATCTGTCTCAGATAACCACTGGATCTTTGTACATAGATGAAATTTATTTCAAATTTAACAATATCATAATCTCACTTCACTGCGGATAGAGCGGATGTTGACAATGAAGAGTAGTAGGTACAACATTAGAGGATGCCTACGATTTTTCGAGGAGTAAATGCAATATGGAAAAATGAACTGTTTATATATAACAATAAATTGCATTCATATTGTCATATGCATGTAAATTATTTTACATGAAAAACTTTGTCAATATGGTAGAAACATGCTTTTAAAAAAGTTTGAAATATAGAGATTTTTACAGTTTGGTAATTTGACAAAGCAAAGATCTCTTTAAACATAAATGCATATACCTATATGAAAGTAATTTGTTTTCGATGTCCTTAAGAGCGAGGAGGGCATGTACGAAATCATTTTTCAAACAGATAAAACCTACTTAAAAAGCAGTAAAGTATTTTGTTCCGGAACATTTTATTCTGTTTACGTTCAAAAGTCATGTGTATCAAATAACACGTGATATTATGCTTTTTAAATCGACATAATTTTACTGTATATAAATTTAATAAAACTATTTCATTAGATATACATCTAGCTTCTTACCGTTAAAGTTTGAGTAAGAAATATAAAAAAACATTTTTCAAACATTTGCTACATAACAATGGATAAGTGCCGGATAATATTTCGGAACCAAAAAATAGGTGGTAAGCTAGTAAGTTTACTAAGTTAGTAAATATTTTATTATAGATCTAGTGACATGTGTATGACAATTTACACATAACAAAAATAAATAATTTACAGCCGGCCCAACGGACCAATTATTCACCATAAACATATATTCATTAATAATATTCACCTGAAATTATTATTATACTATTCACATCATCAATATTATAGTATAAGTAGTCGTGTGTGTTCAATAAAAAAACAAAATCATTTCTGTAGTGACTGAAATTTACATTAAAATTTAAAATTTAAGTTATTCGGGGAAAATATTTTAGCCTTTTGTTGTAAACAAATGTTTAGTAGGTATCATACCATTTAAACGGCTAGCGGGTGAACAAATTGTATATAGTTGATTATTTGGAACATGCATTGATAATGTGTCCAATACATTACGAAATGAAGCGAAATTAACGGTTGCTTTGAGTGGCATTCTTCTTTTTTTTATTAAAAACGTGCCCGTCTTGTTTTATCTTATTTTTAACATACATTACACTGAGCTATAAAGATAAGGTTAAAAAGAAACGATATAAGTCTTTGGTTTGACAGCTATAGCCTTGAATGCCCTGGACAGTTGCCATGGTTCTATATAAAAAAAATACAAAAATATATCTGTTTAGGAATAATGTATAAGAGCAAAGCAAGCTGTTGGATCATATGTCCGATTTGATTAATCAGCATATACTGGACAAGAGGTCAATCAATTCTTTAGAAAACAGATACAACGGATTAGTGGATGAACGCTATAATGTTGCAGGAACGGTTTGATTGAGCTTGTTCATGGATGATAATGGTAATTACAAGCTATCGTCCACGCCCTTAGCACCGGTATAATCAGTATTTTCCTTTGAACAGACAAATAGTGAATTTTTCAGTTTGGAAATATCCGAATATGTCTGAATACAAAAAGGTATTGTACAGATTGACCTATAAAAACATTTTCTATGTCATCAATACAATTGTATATCGCTGAAAATGTACGACACATACAGCGTATTAATATACAACCCCTCTTTATAGGAAATGATATGCTTATTTTATTTTCTTGAACAACAGGCAAGAATGTTAAAACAATACAATTACATATACACACATTTAAATGAAAAACCATAATTCAGACCCACTTCGAAGAAAATGTGGTACATTCTTTTTAAATGAATTATTTTTGCTAAAAAATATTTTACTAAAAAAGAGGAATATTATATCTTTAAATATAATGTATAATCTATGCGAAATTATATTTTCCAGAATATTTCTCCGGAAGATGTTGCTCAATATCTGCTTCTTTGTTTGATATCTTAGAATGTCAAACTTGATTTGTTCTTTTCGTATGGAAATGAATGTATCGATCTTGACATTAACATCTACAGTATTGGGGGAGGGATCCTCCACACTGATTTTCTGTTCTCTGGGAATCTGGGAATACTAAAATAATTAGTATAGACGGAGACTTTTCTGAGACAGCCAAATGCGGCTATCGATTTTACTCCTTTTGTCTTGCTGGAAACAAACAAGGATGTAGGAAAGACGTTTCATCTGAAAATCAAAACAACAACGACATCACGATATGTAAAAAAATGATTAAAGGATTCAATGCATTTACACTGAGTAGGCAAAGTAAACAATTTGATATTTTTCGTTCGATTCAAGTTTACAGTCCTCTAAATTACCGATATCGTCATTGTACATTAAATAGCGGTTCAAATTAAAACGCATTTTGTGGTGTTCGTTATTGCGTTCTTTATCAAACACATGTTCTTTAACAGATACGCGTTTTAAGCAGCGTCAGAAGAAAACAAAGTGTACATTTCCTTATCTTCGTGAATTCAAACTTTAAATAATCATTTCTTTTTTTCAACTATTTGTTATAATTTCCCGTTCTTAATTTCTAGAAATGAAGAACAATTTGTCAAAATGTTTAATTTTAAAGAATATTCTACAATTCTTGATAGCTTTTCTGCGGGTAAAAACTATTGCTGCTTACAAATATGCTTCTGTCGACATATTCGATGCTTATCACTTATTTGAAAACAAACAACAACATGAATTAATCTGCTTCCCCAGGCTGACACGTTCTATCTAATGATAAAGAATCATGAGGTATTTTGAATGTACGATGTCTTATCTGATTTTAATTGTTTTTACCAGCTTGCAGATGAAACCTAAATATATAAGGATTCCTTGCATCACTGTTGTTTTGAGGCTCCAAAAGTATTATATTCTTCATAATATTTTAAATAAATACGTTTCCATTTTTATTTATCAATACATGTTTAAAATAGTTTGAAAATCAATAAAAATTAATTAAGTATGGTAATTTATCTGATGCCAAATTAACTTGATTTGTCTATGAGTGAAAAAATAATTATGGTAAAGATAACAAAATTATAAAACATTTTTTTATTGGATTTATCATGTTTATTGTATATACAAGCACTTTTTAACGTAAGAAAAAAAAATGAATTATATAAGTCGACAATGAAATGTCATTTTGTTCTAGGTTTCTAGAATACGTCTTCGCAGAATAGAAACCAAAGAAGCACCTTTGTCAAAAGTTGAAAGTGGAAATCATTTCCAATATTTCAAGTACAAATGTATAATTATTTAAGAAACTACAAAACGATTGACTTTGGTCATTTCCAAAATAGTCAATGAAGTATAGCTTAGTCGATATAAACAATAATGCACTACAATGATATATAAAATTTTGTATATTCCAAAAGCTTTCAACACATTTTTTGATTGTTGATACAAGATACAAGATGATATTTTAATCACATGTAAATTGCACTTATTTTCATTTTTATATTTATTTTTTATCATAAACCAAAAAACAATAAATAAAAATAAAACAGAAAAATACAGCTTTCGTCTTCAATAGTAAAATAGTAAGTCGTATATGAATGACAATATTTCACTGATCATTTTTGTTTTGTAACTGCCAATGGTATTACTAGGTATTTTATCGGTGTTAGCAGTTCGCGTATTGTTGTCTGTTTCGTTTCATAGACCTGTCAGTAATCAGTTTCTCTTGGGAATTCTTTAACAATAAATGAAATAATGCTATATCACAAGATATTCTACAGAACTCATTCATTTTATTTTTCATTTCCCCTCCTTTTTACCTGTTAGCTAACTTGATGATACAGAGAAACAGAAGGCTATTCATTGGAAATATTTAAGAATTTTATTTTTAAAAAACTAAGTAAGCCTTGCATTTTAATCATACACAGCAGAGCTGAAATAGACATATTGTTTTAATAAGCCGACAGTTTGGGATATGCAGTTATAATATATTCATGTGCATGTATTTTCTGTGGTGGTTATCGTTGGAATTCTTAAAGCATGCATCAATAGAATAATGTACGTTTACATGTAACTTCCAAAACGGCGATTTAAATTTCATATCGTCAGGAAAAAAAAGGAAAATGCAGTATTACATGCACTTACTACTAAATATTTCATATTGAAAGTCAAATAGATCTATTTATTAGATTCTATGCAGCCAGACTTTCTGTTACTGTTGGTGATCTATACGGATCCACGTCATTTCTTTATGACATATTACGACGTTTATTGTTTAATGTCACGCTACATCAATATTTCATAATGCTAGATAAGATCTTGGTTCAACTAACAATAAATCCAAGTTTATTTCATATGTCAGAAAAGGGGTTTTTAAACTTCCATTTTGCTGATAAAAAAAGGATTTCCCCGTCTTTATTATACGTATCTTTTTAACGCTAACACGCTTTAATGCTTTTTCAGTTAGTGTATAAACGATACGATTCAGGCATATATCTTGGACTTATCAATGTTCATACTTTCCTTAAGACAATGGTGTTCTCTTCTGGAGAGGTTGGTAAGTTTCATCACATGTGAAACTAAAGCCAGTCTTTGAATTTATATCTTTATATCCGCCAGGTCTAAACTGCTGCTATAACCAGACCAAATTGACAGTATTTTTCGTGTTAGAGGTGATTTATTATCCTTTTATATATATGAAGCGTATAATATTATATTTATGAGTCACCGATAAAAATATTTTTTGTACTTGTACGGTTATCTACGAACAAGTCTTTTCTTTTCGGATTATAACGATCGTGGCATATGAACGCATCGGCAAAAAGCAATCACTGGAAGCTTGAAATTCCAACCAAAGTGATTTAGATGTGCAAGCGTCTAGTTCAATGTATTGATCAAAAAGCTCTGTGCCGTCCCGTATTATACATACCACGCAGAAATCTTGGAATCGTCGTGAAATATCGGATTCTTTTAAAAGATGGATTTAGCTTTGTGCATATTTTATTCTATGACTTTAATTGACGCGGAGAAAAAACCTACGGATTACAATATTATTTAACTAATTAAAAAAGTATCAATTATAGAAGTTGATTTACTTGTTATCATTGAACGACAATTAATTAACTTGGAATTAAGTACATTTAACAGGAGGTAAGATTTTGCCTTGTGGTGTAACTTGTTGTATCTATACATTGTACAAGTTTTATTTTCATCAGATGAAATTGTTATACTGTTTGAAAGTAGTTATACAATTCTTTGCTGACACGATTAAACATTCATTTTGTTTTCTTCTTAATCAAGGCGGGTTAATCTATAAAGTCTGCTGCGTAAAAGATTGACATCAATATATACATGTATACGAATATCGATGCGATGTGGCACGTTGAAATTGATAAGTATTTGGCACGAGATTTCTGTATACATGTATTTGCATATACAATCGTGTTATCATAATTTTGTTTCTGTTTCTGTTTTGAATTATATCTTACACTATAATTCAATTAACTATTATTTTGCATAACTGACAATTGGTATAATTTGATCTCTATGACCTTGGCAAATAAATTTTATTATTAGTTTTCTTTTCGTTAATTTTCAGAAATGTTTTGAAATTATTTCTTTTTCTTATGGTTATGATAAAGTTACATACCTTTTTCATCATATAAGATTACTAGGAATAGAATATATCATGCAGTTCATGTACGGTTAAACTGTAAGTTATTACTCCATATCAGACGTTAAGTCTAGCGAGTTTGAGTCTTCCTATTTGTAAATAAAAGTACATTTGTCTCTGCAAGATATCTAAAAAAGAACGGCTTTATTCGCAGGAACACAATTGCCTATTAGTATGTTTGTAATATGATAGAAGCTTTATTTCTCTGAAACTTAAAAATTAACATTGTGTCGCTGCTCTGCAGCTGCATCTCGCTTGTAAATATTATTTTATTTAAATTTTGTTTAATATATATGCATATCAAAAGTAAAAATTTGTTAATACATATGTGTTTTCATAATATTGTTTGAGGGTGACATGATATCATAATTTACACAATGCATTGTATCAATATTTTATTTCTAAAGATACATTTAAGGAATGTTTATCTGATACATTAACTAATTCAGAAATCATTTTCTGTTTGTTCATGTAGTTGTCACCAGTTTTGAATGACCTTCTACATAACTTTGATTTATCGAACTGAATTAAATCCTAACAGAAAATGAAAGAAGTCTTTTCTCGGAATAAATGTCAAGTTTAAGTAACTGTCTCGAGTACTTGTGTGTGATCTTAAAATCATGTATATGTCTGAATAAAAGAGTTAATTGGAAAGACATATAAACCAACTAACAACTTGTACTTCTCACGTTGTATATTCTCATTACGAAATATTAACCCTTCTTCACTGGTAAATTTCTTAAATGGACCTATCCGGCTGCTTCATGGAACTATCCATTCTAAATTATCCGGGAATGATGAGGAAAATGTAAAGTCAGTACTGGATAGACTGCACGAGCGTACATGTTGGCCTGGCTCTAAACTGGTGGCAAGGGCTTATCACTTTCGGATTTTAACAAAGTTAAGGTTAAAAACCTATATGTTTTATATGTCAACTCTTACACAGATGTAAATTGTCTGAATGGTTCTCAAGCAAATCATACAATGACTACAATGCTATATAATTATATGGTCTTAGATAACGTCATTGTACATGTATTAAATAAACATTAGGTAATTGCCATAAATAAAATATATTGATTTATTTTCAAACTTGAACTCGTCTAAGAAATGTTAAACATTTAATTTTCAAGTTAATCCATCATAGCTATTGTTTTATATCTTTCTGCATTCATTAGGATAACTCGCTTTACACTCATAATCAAATAGGATTCCCAATAATCACGCGTTCTGTTAACAGCATGACTTTTTAAGTCTAAATGAAGATGTCAATGCCAATTCTGTTTAATAAGAGAAAACAAACAGAAAATAATAAAATCTCACGATTATGCACCATAAAATGATATAAGCGTCCATGTCTTAATATTCATCCGACGATCATTGCTTATTATTTGCTATATTTGATATTAGTATATGAGTATATGAAATGTTCTACTATGTTTTATGTTGCAAAACATACATTTATACAGTTTGCCAAAGACGGAATATATACAGAAAGCTATTTGTGTACAATCACTGTAACGAACCCAAAAGAAAAAGTAATAAAATGAAAATACAATAACAAAAAGGCTGTTATAAGATTTCTCAAAATATACACACCAGTCAAATTAAACTATCATTACAAAAAGTAAGTTCCTTGTTTCATTTTAAGTTAAACTTTTATCTTGATATTGATCAAAGATACAAAACATGCAAGCATTTGTACAAAAATATTTTCTTGAAGAAATTGGCAAGCGTTTCTAGGCGTGGTAGTTAAACCCTTTAAAAAGATCTTGCAAGTTTCTGTTACCCAGTGATTGATGTCCGTTTTAATACCTTATCTAATTTTCAATTTGCTTTCTTTCCAAAATGAAGAGTCTATTAACTCGAACACGTTTGACGGATAGATGTTTATCAGGATAAATGAGAAGAAAATAACTACTAGATCGATAATGGAATAACCTAGATTTTGAAGACGGGCATTTTTCTCTTTAAACATATTTTCTGCGTATTTTTTTTTAATATGTGTAAAAAATCTGATTTCAGATGATAACGTGTTTAGTTTTTTTAGTATGTGATGTTTTTGTTGGGAAATATAACAACAATTGGTATAAGTTTTTTTTTAACATAACAGTTCCGACACAGACACAATTTATTGGAATCAGTGAAACTACGGACTTTAATTGACATGTCAATTAATGTCGGATTTAAAACATTCATAGTAAATAAATTAAATCAGAAATGCGTTAAAACTCTGTTTGAAAATGATACGTTGTACAATATGAATATCATGATACATATACGAAATTGTCGTGCCTAATAATAACTAAGATAAACCAATGCATGGTTTAACGATTTTATTTCTCAATAATACTTAAATGTAAACCCAATATTACCCACATCTGAGGCTAAAAATACTTAAATGTAAAACAAATATGTATTAAATTTAAAACCAAAGATACTTAAATACCCGTATAAAGCATTTTCTAAAGCAAGTGATACTTAGATCTTTAGCCAATGGAACTTAAATCTAAAGCCAATATTATTTAAATCTAAAGCCAATGAAACTTAAGTCTAAAGTAAAAACTACTTAAATCTTAATCTGTTAATATCTAAATCTAAAGCCAATACTACTTTAATCTTGAATAGATATAATGGTATTAGTCTCGTTCGATGGTCGCCAGTAGGCAGTCTACATTCATTATCTGATAGATCATTGACATTGGCCATGGTTAGAATAACATTTACATTGACATAAAATAATGCTGTTATTCAAAGCATAGGAGCATTTAAAAAATCGCAATAAAAACACATATCACTCAATATTTTATGTGTAACTTTACAAATTATGAATTGCAAATGATACAAAATATAAAGAAGCTAAATAGAGAGTAATTTAAACTGTATATAACTGGTATTAGTACTTAATAAAAAATATACACCGAATGCAACAATTGCATTGTCATAAAATCAAACTGATTACTTTTGGATTAGATTAATATCATTAAGTCGCTTCCATTGTTGATGAAATTAAACAAAATTTTAACAAATCAAGCATAGAACCATACGATTCTTCTTAACTTTAAGAGGATTTTCAAACATATGACGAAACTGTTAGGTAGAAAAAATTGAATCCCTAAAAGAACACCCAAACAGAACATTTGCAAATGCTGCAGGACTGGTTCGTCTGAGCCAGCTCTGGTAGTGTCAGTTTAATAATGTGTGTACTAATCTGTTGCACAATTGATACGATGTTTGGATTTCAGTGGCGTTCATTCAGTCCATTGCACACCATTATCGTAAAGTTTCATGTAATTTTGTTGTGATTAATGCTTCCGAGGGATCACTTTGTTTTTCCAGATTTTTATACTTCACAACAGCAGGTGTCAAGTGATGTGTGGCAGCTGTAAAAAGTTGCCCCATACTTGACTTCAGTGTTGTTATATTTTTCTTGTCCTTCGGAATCATTGATGCCAGCACTATTAAGTGTTGAGAATTGAGTACCACTCAAGCCGGTGCTAGGGGGTGTGAGGGATGTTGCACTTATTCATTATCTCTCATGTACTGTACGAGTCTGCAATTTTCATGTTATTTTGTTGTGATTAATGCTTCCGAGGGATCACTTTGTTTCCAGATTTTTGTATTAAATATCCGAAATAATATACATTGCCCAGGAAATGTATAAAATGAATAATTTCAGATAGGTCATACTGGTATTACTCAGGCGGATCATCTTTGTGTCCAACGATAATTGAATACAGCAATACAAATGTCATATTAGACAAGTGCCAGTGTTAGATTGACTTTATCAATTATATTACGAAGGCTGTATATACGTCAAATATATCATAAAAGAAAATGGCCATGCAGTTCCCCTGAGGGAGATCTATACCACGATAAATTGATACAAGATCTACTGCGTTATTGATGGAGGAACTCTAGTTAACCACCAATCTTGAGTACGTCGGTAAAGTGTCAGAAACTTGTCTTAAATACTATCGTGATATCTACTCATATTATGTTAACATATGAGAAAGAGACGAAACACATATATCATCATTACTAAGATAAGTGTTTCTTACATCTGCGGATGATTCTAAATTCAAAATTTTACTATTTCACGTTTAAATGTTGAATTCTGCTTAAGCCGGTGCTAGGGGGCGTGGACGGTAACTTGCACTTTCCAGTACCGTCCATGAACAGGCTCAATCAAACCGAGCCTGCAACATTTTCAATTTTGCCGTGTTGGGCTTTCTTTAGGGATTCTGTATTTATCTATTAACACATTTATTGTGATATAAAGTTTTTTTTAACCATTTTTAAGTTCGCTTCCTTGCTGAAACCAACCACTCCTGGGGTGTAAGACAGAATTAATGGTAATGTATCCTATCCAAGCTCTCAGTGTTGAGAGGTTGTAAGTTTTTAAGTGAATAATATCTGACAATAATCACAATATGTGATACAAAAAGAAACTAGTATTGTCGTAAATACATATAAG